GTGAGCTAAGGATTCCCATGTTCTCCAACTTTACTGTGCTTTAGTCTGAGAGCTCAGCTGTCTGGGAAAGCAACCATGTCTCCCACTGAGGTCGAACTGCTACCTATGTGAGGGTGCTCCCAAGTCTTGCTCCTGGCAAAGAACCAGGCCACCAGGGGCAGAATCCAAAGTGTGGGTCCTTTCAGCCCTTACCAACTCCCTCAGGCAGGGAACCCAGGGTGACGAATCAGCTCCAGGGCAGTGCACAAAAAAAAATGGTCGGTTACTCACTCGGTAGTGGGATGGCCTCATCCCCTCAAGCCAATTCATCATGCAAGATGGAAGGCACAGTCATCTCTTCTCCCCAAAAACTAGTTCTAAGGAAAATGTCTTCAAATACATTACTACTACATTTCCTGAAAAAAATATACTACAATGTGAAGGTTCCAAATTTTATCACTGTAAAGCAAAACTACAGGACTGCACAGACAAGGCAAGGATCATGATATCTGAGACATTTCAAAGTGTCACAGGTGTCACATGGTCCTCCTACTCAGGACACATCTGAAGGTGAATCCACAGACTCATGGCACATGCCCATGTCCATCTGCCCTAACCTCACTTCACACACTGGGAAATGGATGGCCAGAGAGGACAGGTGACTCATCAAGGCCATACTGTTCATACAAGAGAGAGCTGGGGCTAGGAGACAGCTGGCCAAGTCATCTCATCCAGGGCACATCATGGTTTGTGGGAGACAAAGTGCCTGCCTGGTGACTCTCATGGTCTAAAGGAGCTGTGTGTTCTGGCAAGTGAACTTGGTACTCTGATTAACATGACACTGTGCCCAGGAAGGGAACAAGACCATGAGAAGTAGAGCTATTGTTTTAAGTTCCCAGCTATGATGAGGGAGCCCCTGATTCCCAAGCCAACCTTTGTAGTGCTGCAGGTGTCCAAAGACCCAGCCCCCTTAAGATGGAAAGGATATGTGGGCACAGACCCATCTAGACACTAGGGACCTAAACGCAATCTGTAGCTACAGCAGTTATATCCTCAAAGAGAGATGTCTTGTCCAATTTACCCAGTTTGCTTCCACTCCCTCACTGATTCATGTATTTGGTCCAGGGACTGTCATTTGTAATCTATGCATCTCAGAGGAAAGGGCATCTCAGACCACATTCCCAGTCAGGCAGGTAATCATGTACAGGGCCAAGTGCCTGCTGGAATTATCCTCCCTCATCTATGACCACCCCCTTCCTGATTTTAATTGGATGTTCAGAAATGGTTTATCCCTTTCCTCTGACCAAGCTCACAAAGGCCTCCCTCATTCCTCTTGTGTTTCAAGTATACTGCAAAAATGAAAAGAAGTAATGCCAACTACAGGATCTAGCATTTTAAAATACCAGAACAGAAAAGGGTGAAAAATATCTTTTCATTGGCAAGCCCTGACTCAGATGGTCTGTGCATCACCAGGAATTTCAACGGCCGCTGTGGAGGGCATGGTATTCAGGTCGGCCGAGGCCACCTTGCCTGACTCAGGAGCCCTCTCTTTGTCACGGCATGACTATGACACAGTCTCACGTGGATGAAGGAGATGGAACAGCTTCCCAGAGATGCCAAGGAACAGAGATACAGCAACAACAAAGCAAGGAACCCAACAAGTATTTATTGAATGGCTACTTGGTGCTATGCATGGCTCTGAGGCACTGGGCTGGAAAAAGGTCAACAAGTCCCAGGACGTCCCTTCTCTCGTAGTTTCCACTTCTCCCTCCAACAGACACAAGTCAGAGGGAAAAGGAAGAGGACACATAAAATATCAATGTAGACACAAGAAACAAAAAAATCTGAAGAGACTATATCCATTTAAAAAGCTGAATTATCAAAAATATCAAAAGGCATTATCAAAAACCTTCCTACCACACCCAAAAAAACTCCATACTCACATAGTTTCATCGGTAAATTCTAGAAGAAAAAAGACAGAAAAAGAGAAAAGGAAAGGAAATAGAAAAGGGGAAAAAAACCAAACTTACACAAACTTGATCAGAAAACAGAGGGGGAACACTGATCCTTTTTTATGATGTTAGTTTGTATATTTTCTGAAGCCAGCATAACCCAACTACCAAAACCTGATAAAGATGAAAAGAAAGTAAAAGAGGAAGTCTGAACGAATGAAGGAGGGAGGAAGGAAAATAAATGATAGATCAATATTCCTCATGCATATAGATATAAAATCCTTTATAAAATAAAGTAAATTGAATCCAACAATAAATAAAAGGATACATCATGAACAAATCGGCTTGATCCCAGAAATGCAAGGTTGGTTTAAATTTGAAAATCAGGCCGAGTGTAGTGGCTCACACCTGTAATCCTAGCACTCTGGGAAGCCAAAGTGGGAGGATCACTTGAGGTCAGGAGTTCGAGACCAGCCTGAACAAGAACGAGACTCTGTCTCTACCAAAAATAGAAAGAAATTAGCCAGGCAAATAAAACTAAAAAAAAAATTAGCTGGGCATGGTGGCGCATGCCTCTATTTCCAGTTACTCAGGAGGCTGAGACAGGAGGATGGCTTGAGCCTAGGTGTTTGAGGTTGCTGTGAGCTAGGCTGATGCCATGGCACTCTAGCCTAGGCAACAGAGCAAGACTGTCTCAATCAATCAATCAATATGAAAATCAACCAATTTAATTTGTCCTACTAACAAAATAGAGAAGAAAAACCATATGATCACTTCAATAGATACAGAAAGGCATTTGACAATTTTCAACACCCATTCATAATAAAAAACTCTCAACAAACAGGAAAAAAAGATGCTGATATTATTCATCACTGAGGAAATGGATATTAAATCCACAATGATATACCTCTATATATCTATTAGGTCATCTAAAATTTAAAAGACTGACCATTCCAAGTGTTGGTGAGGGTGTGGAGCAACTGGAACTCTCATACACTGCTGATGGGAATGTAAAACGGTACCACCACTTTGGAAAACAGTTTAGAAGTCCCTTAAAAAGTCAAACACTCTCCACATGTTCGTAATGGTAAAAAAAAAAAAAAAAGTTAAACACTCTTTCTATACAACCCAGCAATTTTGCTACTAGGTATTTACCCAAGAGAAATGAAAGCACATGTCCACATAAAGACTTGTATGCAAATGTTCATAGCTAAACTAAAAACTGCCCAAATGCCAACACAACAGAATAAACTGTGGACTAGCTATACAATGGAATACTACTCAGTAATAAAAAGGAATACATTACTGACATACCCAACATGAAAATTCCAAAACTATTATGCTGAGTCAAAGATGTCAGACATAAAAGTACATATTGCATTATTCAATTCCTATTCTTTAAAAAATGCAAACTGATCTACAATGACAGAAAACAGATCCATGTTTGCCTGGGAAGGGGCATAAAGAGAAAGATGGATTATAAGGGAATTTTCAGGGTGATGGAAATGTTATCCAGACAGTGGTGACAGTTTCAATATGTGTGAGAGAAAGAGAGTAAGAGAAAACTCATCAAACTGTATACTTCAAATATTGCAGTTTATTGTATATCAATTATGCCTCAATTAAGCTGTAAAAATATGTTTCATATCAACATATTTTAGGGCACTGGAATATTCATTAAAGAACAATATAGACTTTTCCCTGAATGACCAGGGTGCCCATAGAGCCTGTCATCCAAGCCAGGAAACATATGCAAGTCAAAGTGGACGCTAAAAATAATTAATAGGCTATATGAATTGGCACTGGAAACACCAGCACTTAGGGCCTTAGGAACAACAAATACCCAATCTATTCCTTGGTGTGATTAGATACTTCTTTTGGAAAGCAAAGTAGTGCTGGCAACAGCCCTGGTGAATCAGCTGCACCCGCACCCTTGATTTACAGATGAGGAAGTAGTGCCAGCTCCTGGTCAATGTCAGGCACAGGACAAACCCCAAAGTTCCTGCCTCCATGGTCAGTGTACATTCATCCCCTCCTTTTTCGAAGAAGAAGAAGAAATAAAGGACAAGGTGTGGCCACTCCCACTCCCAACTATTCCAAACGTCTAACTATGCTGATCCAGCCTCTATAGAGCTTTGCGTCCAGTGAGCAAGCAGGCCACAGAAAAGCCCGACATACAAAGCCCGACAGGGATGGAAGCACACCTGGCTGCAGCCCTGGGCAGCGCCACACTGGACACAGTCTATAGCAGGCGAAGTCTGGAGGGCCAACCCTCCTGCACAGGTCTAGTGACAAGCGCTCCTACACTCCCCCTCCTGTCTTAAAAATGTGGCAGGGAAGAGGGGTGACATGTTTCGTTTTTGAGTCTAACATTTCAAACCAGGTTCTCCAGTTGTAGAGGAAGACGAATGATTGAGTCAATAAACAGCAGGCTCCCAACCACAGAGCAGGGAATCTTAATTTGATAACAAGTTGTTTCAAGGAAATAGAGATCCTACCACTCTGTGCACTCTGAAATACCAGGTTATTCTGGGACAGGAACATAAGATTTTTTTTTTAACATGATTTCCTGGAGAATGATACCATTTTCATAATTTTTAAGGGAAAACACCAGACAGACAGGACTTGCCTTGATCCCACCCCTGGCACACTTACCAAAGAATACTGGGTAAAGAACAGCTAAAATTATCAATTTCTTAGGCATCCTAAGAAAAAATTTAATCAAATCCATGTACCTTCCCAGCATGTCTTTTTCCCTTACAAAAGTACTACAGTCCAATGACAGTCTCTCAACTGTCCATTTTTTGTTTTCCCTATAATTTGTAAAGACAATTAGCAAGTACACTGCACTTGTTAATAACAATTATCAGGTATAATAAATGTTAACAATTAAGATACAAACATACATATTTTCACACATACACACATAATATTGTGAAGATGCCTTAGATTTCACAGATGCAACCCTTACTGATAATTTAAACACACAGCCCAGACACGTAACAGTGTTTCCCCCACCCCAGATTTTAAACATACTGAAGAGACCTCACAATTGGTTCCATCACTCACCAGCTAGGCTGCCCAAAGAGGACAGTATCTTCTCTGTGTGTGTCTGCCTGGCGTGACTGTAAAAACTGAGCCCTAAGCTCTCACATGGAGTAACCTGGTCTTTCAGACCAGCTGTGCCATAGCAGCAGGTGCTACCTTCACTTGGTAAACAGCCACCAATGTGGCTCAATGCCTGCTTCCTCCTGCTTCTTGACTTGAGAACACAACATAGATTATAAAGCATGAAATTCATTGGACTGACTCCCTTCTGCACCTGCTTCCCCAGGCCTGCATTGCTGTCCAAGGCACATTTTAACAAACACAGCATATCATTCACTGAGCACCTACTCTGTGCCAAGTGCCTAAACACCCCCACCACCGCCACGCTGGGTAGCACTGCCCTAGTTTTAGGATGGGGGGATGAAGCAACAGGTGGTTAAGAAGGTGCCGAGATCCCACCGCCAAGAGTTGGCACAGACAGGACACATGGTCAGCTTCTCCTGGACCCCTGCCCCGGAGCAGGAAGGGGACAGGCTTGCTCACAGCAGTGAGCCCAGGAAGCAGGAGCTGCTGACCAGCACAGGGCTTCCCAACAGGCGAAGACACTTGGCACTCAAGAGGACTTAGGGGACCCACAAATACAACTCTGCCCATCCTAGACCCAGGCCAGCAGTCACAGGAATTGGGAAGAGTCTTTCGTGTGGGGAAATTCGCCAATTATATAGTTTTTCCTCTCCCTGAGCCAAAGTGACTGACATAGGGGTTTTGCCAAGGAAATGTCTGAGATTCAAACACACTGAGAAGGAAAACTAATGTCAAAATCTGGATAAAGGTCATGGTTCCTCACCCAAGGAGCAGCCCTAACCACCCCCAGGCCGACATCTGTTGGAAATAGCTGAGAAACTCAAGCACAGTTTCACCTTATGCAGGCCTACTAGGGAACGTTCATTCATTCAACAGATGTGAACGCCAAATAGATAATATTTAAAACAACTAAAAATGTTACTTTGAACCCATCACATAATTTCCTTTTAATTTAGCTAGCAATTAAACAAAGGTATCTTATATGTTTAACTATACTTGGTCTTCCTTCAAATTTTATTTTTCCTGTTTTTACTGAATTGCTTGCTAACTCTTAAGGATAATAACTCTTTCCTGATATCTACTCTTTGGCTACAGATGCTATTTTTAATACTATCTATAAAGTTGGCCTCACTTGAAATCCTCTGGAATTCCTACAAATCAGAACAACTGCTATATATTAGCAAATTAAACCCTATTACTTTCCTACTAGTAGTGATGAGTAGTGGAGACAGAAACTAGGAAACATCAGAGTGTATTTCTGTGCCAACCTAACAGCCTATGAGATGGACTCTAGTAATATCCCTATTTCATAGACAAGAAAAAAAAAAAGTCTTAGAAAGATGAAGTAGCTTGTCCTAGTCACACAGCTAGCTAACAAGGAAGATCTTTTTTATAACATACCTTGTAAAACTTCTGGATACCATGAACTATTTTAACAATATTTCTTATGGAAAAGGAAGTTATAAATACAGACAGGAAAAATCACCCACTCCTCCCTTTGTATAGCATGGTTGTTCTGACATAGTTATTTCAAGGCAATCATTAGGCTGACACTAGCAGCAAAGCCTGGAGATCTCAAACCCAATAGCTATGAGGTGTGACCACAGGATTAGGGGTTGGCCCGTGGGATATCAGAAGTGCCACGTCATACTCTGGGGAAGCCATGCGAGAGTTCCTCATCTGTTCTGTGCCATGGACCCCTTCTGGTAGTCTTGTGAAGCCTGTAAACTCCCTCTCAGAATGTCTATAAGTGCCAAAAATAAAACACGATTGCAATGGAAAACAATTTTAATAAAATATAGTCATACCCACAGACTCATCTGAGGAGAGCAAGAATATAGATTATGAAGTCCTGTCAGGAGACTCACTTTCTTCTCTCCTCTGTCTGCCCCTCTCCCGAAAGGAGACACAGTGGTGACTAGCACTTTGGCAGTCCTCTTGGACCAGGTGAACCACATCCCGGAAGGGCTCAGGTGACCATGCATAATGACCATACTGACCAAGGACTACTTTCCTTTGTGTGGATGAATAAAACCTTACATGTTCACGCCATTCTTATTTTGGTGTTTTTTCTTATAAGCAGCTGTAGGGCACTGAATGATGGCCTCCAAAAAGCTATGTCCATGTTCTAATCCCAGAACCTATGAATATGACCTTATTTGGAAAAACAGTCCTTGCAGATGTAATTACGTTAAGGATCATGAGAAGAGATCATCCTGGATTATCTGAGCGGGCCCTAAACCCAATGACAAGTGTCCTTATATAAAAGAGAAGACAAGACACAGGAGGAGGAAAACGCCATGTGAAGAAAGGGACAGATTATAGAGTGATGCCACAAGCCAAGGCACACCTAGAGCAGAGCCGCCAGAAGCTGAAAGAAGCAAATCACAGAATCACTCCCAAAACCTCAGGAAGCAGCACAGCCCTGCCAACACCTTCCTTGATTTCAGATTTCTGGCCTCCAGAAGTGGGAGAGAATATCCTTCTGTTGTGATAATCTTTAAGGAAGCCACAGGAATCTAATACAGCTGCCAAACCTAATTCTCATATACACCACCTTTAAGATTTTCTGCCAACAAGAAATACTATGAATTAAATATAAACTGTCTTTTTATACTCACAGCATTATATGTGGTATTATACAGAAGCAGCCCTATAGACATGTGTCATAGTCTGTTTTGTGCTGCTGTAACAGAATACCACAGACTATGTAATTTATAAAGAACAGAAATTTACTTGGCTCAGAGTTCTAGAGGCTGGGGAGTCCAAGAGCATGGTGCTGCATCTGGTGAGGACCTTCACACTGCAACATCTCATGATAGAAGGGCAACAGCGAGTGAGAATGAGAGCGAGAACAAGGGTGGGTCGGGGGGAGGCAAACTCATCCCTTTATCAGGAACCCACTCCCAAGATAACAACATGTATCCAGTCACTAGGGCAGAGCCCCCATGATCTCAGCACCTCTTAAAGGTCCCACCTCTCAAATCTCAACAGTGTTACACTGGGGATTAAGTTTCCAACACATGAACTTTGGGGGAAACATTCAGACTATAACAACATGTATGTCCAGAATATAATTTTCATTCAACTTATACTGAAAACATTTTTTAAATGACTTTTAAAAAATGACTTTTAAATTTTGTTTGTTTGTTTGTTTTAATTTTTATGAAAACACTCTTTTCAATACCCATTAATTGACCAGTAGGCCAGTCCATTATCCTGAAATTTAAAAACAAACCAAAGGCCTGTCCTTTCCTTCATTCTGTTCTTACATGACACCAACGAGTACTCTTATCACTTTCTGTCCTCTTTTGAAGCTCCTTCCATTCCCTCCAACCAGCCGCTAATCCCTCACATGAGTGTGTTCTCAACGCCTCTTCTGCCACTCTCTGTATCTGAGGCTGCCCTCTACCCACCCTCATCTGGGCCATGCTGCCAGGACAGCAGATGTCCCCAACAGCTCAGTCATGGTCACGGAAGCCAGCACCCCTCTGTCCACTTCCCTTCATTAAACCCAGCCTGTTCTCTTCTATTCCCTTTCAAAGGTACATGACATGCTAATCAGAGATTCTGGGGGTTAGGATCCTTGAAGTTCCAATTATGATTCATCTGAAATGATGTAAAATCGAAGCTGAAACACAGAAGTACTTGTACTCAAAACTGAAGCTGTAAACCAGAACCAAACCAGAATCACCTAAAGCGGAAGGAAGTTTTATCTTATACACCTTCAGGGCAGATAACAGAAAAGGACCCAAGACCAAGCAAAGGCAGTTCTCTAAGGGCAAACTGCACCCTCTCCTGAACAAATGGAGCTCAGCATGGATGCTTCTCTGCAAGGGAGACCAAACTCATTTCCCCTAACATCCCTTCTGTGATCTAAGACGCTTATTCTAGCAACAGCTTCAACCAGAAAAAAATGAAATATTCTCAGTTGTATACTGTCAGAGTGAGTAAATAAAGTTTAATGGATCAACTATGACATACCTATACAATCAAATATCCACCACTATAAAAATGACCATTATAGAGACTCATGATACGGGGAAGCTTACACTAAAATAGTAAATGAAGCCTAAATACAAAATTATACATATACTAATAGGCATGTATAACACATGTCAAATTTAATGTTTGCATACGAAAAAGTCTGAAGGGAAACATGAAAAAAGAAAACAGCTGCTAAGCTACTGTGTGAGCATTTCCCCATTTTAAATTTCCTCTAAAATCATTATTACGATTTAAACACTTTAAGAAATAAGTGAACAAACTGACCCACACACAGAGCCTGGTATGTGGAGGCAGGTCCTGCTGGTCTGACGTGTGAACAGATGCTCCTGAGCACCTACCCCTGGATGCACCCAAGCCCCTGACCCCTGTCCGCCCCTCTCTCTGCAGGAGAGACCCGCCGCACAAGCCCCTCCTCCCAGAAGCTTCTACTCCCACGGCTGACTGAGACGCTTCTTTCTCAGCACTCTGGATGTCGCGGGGCACTAGAATTATTTCTTTATACGTTGTGAGAAGTCTCCCAGAGCAGAGAACATACTTACCCACCCTGTATGCCCTCAAGCACCCAGTACAGAGTTTGCCACAATACAGAATTGCTGAAAGAAGGAAAAACAAACTTTCCTAAAGCATGTAGCCTTTCCAATTGATTTCAGTTTAATTTCAGAAATCAGGTTGCCAGAGTAATGCCTCACTTATTGTCAAATAATTCCTTTATTCTCCAGGGTAAACAAGACGTTTTCAAGCTGTCAAACTTGTTAAAAGCACACATGCAGAGCAAAAGGGCTGGCCCCATCCCAAAGCTGCCCATGAATGTGAGGTAGGTAACGGGAACACAAAGGGAGCCCTGGCCCATGGCCAAGTTCACAATAGCAAGCTTCTCTTCAGCGGGACTTCCAAGGAAGAGACAATTCAACATCCTCTCCATTGTGTTGAACAAAAAAGGAACAAGAGAACCTACTTCTTCCAGTTTGTACTCAAACACACACGGTCGCCCAAAAGGGCAGGGCATTGGGGATCCTGGAGCTCAAGGTGTGGCCAAGCGCACACATTACTAAAGAGCCTGTGCTAATTTAGCATCATGTGAGCAATACAATGTATCCTTGAGAGTGGGTCCAAAATATGGTTGTACCCCAAACCTTGGAAAGCTTTGAGAAATCACCCACTGGTAAATCAGCATCAGAATCTCTGGAGAATGTGCCAGGAATATTTTTTTCTAAGTTCCGAAGGGTGCTCAGGCCCAGCCAAGTTTGGGAACCACTCCCCAGAAGAAGCAGATGGCAGCTTCCTGACCACAGTGTGAACAGGAAGATTTCATTTAGGAGGTAGTTCTCCTACTCACATGAGGAATGAACAGGGTCTACGGGAGAATCTGGGAAGAGGGGCCTCCAGAGACCAAGGCCAGCAGGTGACCTGTGCGCAGGGCACTCCCTAAGAAGGAGCAGGCTTGGCTGGAGCAGGTCTGCTCAGGGTGAGGCCAGGCTAGGAGGGCATGCAGGGAGCAGACCCCTGGACCTTATTAGGTAAGGAGGGGCCTCTCAGTGGTTTACAGTGTTTTTAAAAATGGGCAGAATATGACTCTTTTTAATGGCTTTATATTTCAGGTATATTCCAGTAAAACTTGTCTTTCCTCTTTAAGGTTCAACTCCACTGCAGTTGCTGCCATGACCCCAGGGTTAATAATAATACAGCCAGACTGCTGCAGGTCTGGTGAACTCTGGAGTGATTCGCAGTGACTTTGTTCAATTAGAAGTTATTATTCGGTGAACAGATAAATTGTGAAACATTAAGTAAATCAAACTAGAGAAAAATTTCCAAGTACCAACTGACATAATAAATTTGACTTATTGCTTTCAATTCATCTGTTGAATAA